TGATTCTCGTCGTCCTCGTCGGCCACGAACGTCACCAGCCCGAAGTCGATGACCTGAGCCTGCACCTTCTCCTCGACGAAGACGACGCAGATGTTCTGTTCGTGGAGATCGTCGTGGATGACTCCTGCCTCGTGAAGCCGCATGATGATGGCACGCACCTGCTCAATGACGTCCTCCAGCTGGGCCTCCGTCAGCAGCTTCTCCTCGATGCACTGCTTGAGCGTGGCGCCAGCGTAGAGGCTTATGATGGAGTATTGCTCCCCCTCGACCACGACGGCCTCGACCTACTGCGCCCCCTCAATGCCCCGAACCTTCGCCAGAGCTTCTACCTCCTGCAGGAAGGACTCCTTGCTGGGGGGCGTCATCCGCTTCACGACCAGGCTGCGACGGGCGTCGGAGAGCAGCTCGACCTCCCCGTAGAAGCCGCTGCCCAGGAACGTCGCGCTGCAGCCCTCGGTGTTCTCGAGGAAGTGGGCCGAGGACCACGTGGGCACCTGGAGGGCCTCGAGCTCTCCGAGAAACTCCTCTTCGCTGAGGGTCGCCATCGCCGCGAGTTGGGCAAGGGATGACATCCGAGGATTCTGGGCGTAATGGGCACGAGACTGGGGTATCTGGGCGGGGTACTGAGGCAACGGGTCGTTTGCCTCTCATGTGCACCTGTGTGTGAGGCGGGGGGATGTGTGTCTGTACGCGTGGTGTGTGTGCGTGTGTGTGTGCCTCGTTGTGTGTATGTGTGTGTGTTGTATTTGTGTGTGCCCGTGTGTGTGTCTGTTTCTGTGTGTATGTATGTGAGTGAATGAGTGCCTTGTGTGTGTGTGTGTGTACGTTTGTGCGTGTGACTGTGAACGTACCTGTGTGTGTGTGTTTTCTTGTGTGTTTGCCTGTGTATGTTTGTGACTGTGGGTGTATGCATTTCCCTATATGTGTGCCTGTGTGTGTATATGTGTGCCTGCGTTTGTGTGCCTATGTGTGTGTGTGCCAAATTGTGTATTTGCCTGTGTGTCTGTGCCTGTGTGTTTGTGTGTATGTATGTGTGTGTGTGTGTGTTTGTGCCTGTGTGGGTGTGTTCTTGTGTGTGAGCCTCTGTGTGTGTGTATTCGTGCCTGCGTGGGTGTATACCTATGTGTGTGTGTGTCTGTGTGCCAATGTGTATTTGCCAATATGTGTGTTCATGTGTGTGTGCCGGTGTGTGTGTGAGTGTGTGTGTGGGGATATGTGCCTGTGT